TATGGTCCTTGAGTTTGAAGCCATTTTTGCTTAATGATCTGCAGTTGATTACAGCCATTGACAGCAACTTTTCCTTGCGCACAGGCACATTTTGGGGTTTGATTTGGATTAAATTATCTGTATTGACTCCCCTAAAGCGAGATGGTGATTCATGTTCATGGTGCGTGACGATGGTTTTGATAGCGTTTCTTTGATGAGTTTCTCGCTGTTTGACTTTTTTCCCAGCTCTTCGACCTCTAGGATTGATACCATATGAGTCGAACAATCGAGAGTAGGATCCAGAATTGAGTTGGTTAGGAGCAGACTTCGATGTAGCAAGCCTAGAGTCCTCATAATTGGATTCAATGAGCGGCATATAACGATAATTACATGCAAACGTTTGATCAGGCATAGTTGACTTGGCCAAAGTAAATAACTCGTTGATAGCGCCTTAAAAAACGGCCACGAAGGCGTTTCTCCCCAAATAGAATCGTATTAGTTAGTTTAAATGCTTGTAGACGGAGTTTTGGTTCAAAATAGTGATGTAAAACCGTAAAATAAAGATAAAACGTAGAGAGCTCTGAGAAATCGTGCAGCCGTGACCGTGGCGCTTATATAGAGTTAGTACATAGTTTATAGATCGTTAGTACATTAGTATAGTACGCTAGTACACTAGTACGTTAGTACACTAGTATGATAGCACACTGGTGCGCTAGTACGCTAGTACGATAGTACGCTAGTACGCTGGTACGCTAATACACTGGTATGCTAGTACGCTAGTACACTGGTACGCTAATACACTGGTACGTAAGTACGCTAGTACACTGGTACGCTAATACACAGGTACGCTAGTACATTAGTACGCTAGTACGCTAGTACACTGGTACGCTAGTACGATAGTACACTGGTACGCTAGTACGATAGTACACTGGTACGCTAATACACTGGTACGATAGTACATTAGTACGCTAGTACACTGGTACGCTAGTACACTAGTACGCTAGTACACTGGTACGCTAGTACTCTGGTACGCTAGTACACTGGTACGCTAGTACACTGGTACGCTAGTACACTAGTACTCTGGTACACTAGTACGCTAGTACTCTGGTACGCTAGTACACTAGTACGCTAGTACACTAGTACGCTAGTACACTGGTACGCTAGTACGATAGTACACTGGTACGATAGTACACTGGTACGCTAGTACACTAGTACGCTAGTACACTGGTACGCTACTACGATAGTACACTGGTACGCTACTACACTGGTACGCTAGTACACTGGTACGCTAGTACACTGGTACGGTAGTACACTGGTACGCTAGTACTCTGGTACGCTAGTACACTGGTACGCTAGTACACTAGTACTCTGGTACACTAGTACGCTAGTACTCTGGTACGCTAGTACACTAGTACGCTAGTACGCTAGTACACTGGTACGCTAGTACACTGGTACGCTAGTACACTGGTACGCTAGTACACTGGTACGCTAGTACACTGGTACGCTAGTACACTGGTACGCTAGTACACTGGTACGCTAGTACACTGGTACGCTAGTACACTGGTACGCTAGTACACTGGTACGCTAGTACACTGGTACGGTACACCGAGGTATTGATCGTGTTCTCCGCCATTGAGCTCAAATTTTTTCTTTTGACTTCCTTTTGTATCATAAAAATTACAAAAGAATAAATTTGACATCAAGTGTGTATAACTCATATATTGAGTTGTCTGCTTCTTATAGTGCTTTCAAACAATGGTTACCCTCCGTGTTACTCCCACTTTTTATTTTTAACGAGTTTTTCGGATATAATGGTACGCTGTTCGGCGTGACAAGGCTTTTTTACTTGTAAGGTGTGGGATATTTTGGGCATGGTATAAGCCCTCTTATCGACGATGCTACCACAGTCTACAATATTGGGTGCTCATTTGAATTATGCTGATGTAGAAGAGGATCGTTTTGAACATTTCTTCAGGTAACTGGGTAAGCTCTTTTTTAAGCTCTCATTGAAGCCACGAGTTTCCATCTCTTATAAGCTTATGGATAGAAATTTAAGCTTAAGTTAACATTAATAAGCTTACATGCAAGTCTACTATGGTAGCGCAAAATTGTTTTGAACACATGTTAACTGAAGACATTTAGTATACTTTTCTGTGTGTAAGTTTTTTTTTTCTTTTTGAAGTAGATTCCAGAAAAGCGATTTCGAGAGATTAGTAGGAGCATTAGATCTGCCAGACTTCTACATCTGTCAACAAAGAAAAAGTTGCCCAGGTCCCGAGGCACTTTTAATCCTTCTCAGACGTCTATCCTATCCCAATCGATGGTGTGACCTTCAAGACATGTTTGGCAGATCTCAGTCAGAACTAAGTATGATATTCAATGAAGTATGATATTGAGAAAATATTGCATAACTTAATTCACAACTTCTGAGGCTATCTAACTTTTACCATTTTTTAAACAAAATCATTAAAACAGATATGATTGGACACTCTAAATACAATAAAAAAGTCAATAGCAAAACAATTCTTTTATCAATGCAATGAATACTCTATAAATTATTCTGTGTACGGATTGGCTTTATGATACATTGTAATTAGAAATGTACTTAACTTACTAGATCATCTTTGTACGCAATGATTGCAAGTATTGACAACATATATCYCTAACTAATCTAATAGATTCTGTCAGACATTTATGATCGCTACGGGTCACTGCTTGAGAGTCTTGATCTTGTGTGGCTTGACCCACAAACGTTCTCTCATGCTCTCTTTAATAAAGGTAAATGACAAACTTTTAAATTATCCATGCTCATACTCATATGACTATTGACAGTGTACTACATTTTTCCAAATAGAGACAATGTAATGATATTATGTAATTGTTAATAATATTGACTATATAAGATTGTATTGATATGTACAATTTGTTTAACTACTAGGAGCTCCTCTAAGAGATTGCTGGGGATTTGTTGATGGGACTGCCATTAAGGTATCCAGACCAATTTACAATCAACAATAAATTGTTGAATTTGTACATGTAGTGTAATTCAAGGAATAGATTTCTTTTATTTATTATAATATAATAATATGTATTACCACAATTTACCTGCATCTTCATCATCATCTTCATCATCATCAAATGACAATCTTCTTTCTTTTAATCAATAATTAAACAATATTAGGTATTGTATAATTTCATTAGTTTTAACTATTCTTGCTGAACTTCTTATATTCTAAACAAATGAACATAAAAAAACTGAACTCACTAGCTTTTTGCATTTCCTCTCCTTTCCTTTTGTCTTCTGCTTCCTTCTTTTTCTTTGAAACCGGTGCATTTTGTTTGAAATCTTCTATGTAGCTTGTTATTTCTTCGAGATGCTGTATAATTTTTGTTACTTCTTCTTCTGTTCCCGATCTATATTGCAATAAAATACATCATATTTCTATCTAAGTTTATAAGCTAACTTCAAAACATTTTTTGAGAAAGAATAATGATTTACCTTTTAAGTGCTTTTCGTTCTTCTTGTTTAAATTTTTTTATCATAAGGTCAAGATGTTCCCTGCAACCTCTTGCCTTCACAGGCACACCAAAGACTGAAGTTAGGGTTTCTGCAACTGTTTCCTATTGTTCGGGTTTCCCCGGCCTTATATCTACAACTTCCTTTAGAAGACATATCTCGTGCCAAAGTTTTGGCCAACGAAAAGGAGTCTTTTGCATTTTGAATACGGAATGTTAAACTGTCTCAGGACAAGAAACAAACACAGTAAACTATTTTGAGCGTAAGCGTAAGCTGCGATTTTATCTTTTTTCGCTTCATTTTTTCTTCAAAGCATGAAAAAAAATCCTTTAACCCTTTAACAGGCAAGTTTCTGGGGGGTATAAATTCCGTCCCTCAAAGAGATCTACAAATCACTCTCTACTCCCCTACATTTCATTATACCCCCCATAAACTATATATCAAAATGATCAGTGATAAAAGTTCTATCAATATACATAAGATAAGACAATATATAACATGTATTTTTATTTTAGCATCAAGCAGTATACCAATGAAGGTTTTTCGCCATACGGCTTTTCTCAAATTTGCATCAATACACAGGAAGTCCTACTGTTTTTGATACTAAAATAAGTAAAAGCTCTTCTTGGGATTTTTATAGGAATCTAATTGYTTTTTGTTGCAGTAAAAAACCTTGATCCAATCAAAAGTTATGACAATCTAGCCGAAAAGCGACGGAAATGCAAAACAAAAGCATTTTGTCAAATATTAGCAAAAGCTCCTAAAACCTTTACAATTTTTAGTTTACCTTGTGTTTTTATATACTAGTTATCCATTACTCATGGTATGTATAAAAAGGTCTTAAAACCTACATCAGTAWGTAATTTGAGCTAGAATTATGATGAATTATGAATAAATTAAAAAATACCTTGTGTGCGAGTATTCTTTGAATTGTTTCATTGAATCATTGGAGGGTGCTGATCTTTGTCCATTCATTTACTATTTATTGGTGCCAGTACTCTAACTGCTTGTGCCATTTTTCCCAACAGTTTCTATTTCCATGGGCAYACAGGTGTCTTCGGTCACATGTAACACAAACAGTGTTGGTCTTGTTTATCTGAGTTCGGCTTAGGTTATTTATGGTGACATGTTTTGTACAGACCACACAATTGCGTCTTGCTTCATCTATGTCTATAGAGTGATATAGKCCATTGAGTCTTGTGGCATCCATGTCAGTCAGCGGTCTTTTGGGGGGTCTGCCTATCCTTTCACGAAAACATTWGCCATTAGTGAGATGGCGCACAATTGCTAGACGGTACTGCAAAAATTCTACTGGTTTCTCAGTAGTCTGTTTGTAGATTGTGTATGAGTTGAGCAGACTAACTTCTAATCCATAGTAGAAGAGTTTTTTCCATGCTTTGCGTRATTTTCTGACCACAGAAAAGGTGGTCGTAATTTGGTCCGCCAAGTCAACACCACCCATATACTTTTGGTAGTCAACTTGTGCTGRTGGACAATTTATTGCCTCTCTAGGTCCCCTCCTGCTGCTTCTTTGCACAGTTGCGGGAGGAATGCTTGTAGGGGGATGGATTGTTGAAATGAGATATACCGGTYGTCGGTCATACCATGCCATGGCAACAAGGTTACCATGACATCGCCACAAGTAGTCTCCACGGTCCATGTTCTTTTCCATTTGTTTTGACAGTACAATTTCCTTGGGAAAGTTTTTCCTGTTTTGTCTGACTGTGCCACAAGCAAGGATTTTGTTGCCTTCCAGCTGGAGAAACAGCTCTGGATCTGAGTAGAAGTTGTCCATGTATATCTGATGGTACATGTTGTGGAGTTGCTGGGTGAGATCATGGACAACTCTACGGGCAAGGTTTTTCTCAGCTGCATTACCTTCCTTGCCAAGGTAAACTTGAAAATTGTGCACATACCCAGTAGTTGCTTCACAAAGAACCCACAGCTTTATCCCYCATTTCACAGGTTTATTTTTTATATACTGCTTATAGCTTAGTCTACYTTTGTGTGGAACCATGGTTTCGTCAATAGACAAAGCACATGATAGTCTATAAAGGGCTTGAGACTTTTCTTTTATAAGATCAAGGTATTGTCTTACTCTATAAATCTTGTCAAAATCTGCATGATCTCTGGGTAAGGCTGTGGAGTTGTCTGCTAGATGGAAATATCTCCATATTTGTCGAAATCTTGTTTGTGAGATCAAACTGCTTACCGGTGCTTGGTGAAGAAGTACATCACTGCTCCAATACATCAGAATTCTTGGTAACTTCACAATACCCATGAAAATGATTATTCCAACAAAGGCTTTCATTTCATCCTCATTTACAGGAGTCCATTTCGTTCGGTGCTGGTTTGGTTGAGCAGTATGCTGCTGTTCATAGTACTTATTCGTTTCACAAACAATAATATTCCATATATCATCACTAAAAAATTGATCAAAAAATATTCCAGGCTGTAAATCAATGGGATAGCGCTGTGTAGGGCCAGGATATTGTTCAACAAAAGGCCTAGCAGCTGGGGCATGATAGTTCTGACCCCAAACAAAGTTTTGCTGTTGTTGTGCTGGTTGCCTTCTACTGTGTGCTCGTTTTCTTCCCCCTCCTCTTCTTCCCTGTTGAGCTCTGCCTCTTGCAGGAGTTCCATTTTGCTGATTGTCATCATCAGCCGATTGTAGATCATCTACGAAACGAACAWCAATACTCTACGTTAGCACAAGCTTGTTTCAAGTACAAATAAACTCGATTTTTTCACAGTATACCTCGAGAAAACAACAGTAAACAAAGAATACTTACCATCTGGTTCGATATCAATGTCCAATTCTGCTAATTCAAATGAATTATTTGATATTTCACTGCCAGAATCGCTGTCATAATGCTCAGACAGTTCAGCTTCGCTTTCATCTGAGAGAATGTCCTCGATTTCGTCTCCAAAATCATCATTTGCAAACATTTGAATAACTTCATCTAAAGGTATTCGCCTAGACGCCATTTTTAAAGGGGCCACGTGCAAATAAAGTAAGTTTTTGGTCAAAAATAGAGCGAATTTCTATCAAAATCTAGCTTGAAACTTCTGTTTTATGAACACAACGTGTTTAGGTATCCCATGATGCTTTTAGAAACCAATCAAATCCTTTGTAAGGGTCCCCAGGGGCAAAAATTTGTAAAGGACGCTTTTGCGGACGAATTCGTCCGCATGCCTGTTAAAGGGTTAAGATGAAATAAAGAAGCTGCTATGATCTCTGACGGCTAAGAAGTCGAGAATATTTACAAAAAAGGGAAAAGATACTCACGTTTCTCTCGTAAATCTTTAAACGCGAAATCCGTACTTTTCACGTGAAAACGGCGAACGGCAAACTGCAAACGCGCCAAATTTAGGTCACGTGATCACTCTAGACGTTTGGCGTATGCTTAATCTCTCAAATACGTTTGTCCCTTTGGCGGGAAACAAATCCTTGTAGTGGGCGACTTTTGGTAACTAACGCCTGTGCCAAATATGTTCGACGATGGTAGCCATTTCTTCACTTCGGAAGTATTCAAGCTAGCATTCCCCCATCGATAGGAACTTACAAAACTTATGAGCCAAAACAATGACGTTAGATTCCTTGAGGCATTAAGCGACGTGAGGGTCGGACAATGTCGGCAAGAGACAATGGACTTCATATCCTCACTCTCAAGAAATCTGGATGAATGTCGATCAAAGGTAGCTACTCACATTTTCTTTCTAAAACTGGGCGCCGCTATTCATAACTTGAATGTTATGCGAAGTATGCCAGGTCATTTTGTGGAGTTCATTGCGGATATCAATGAGCAAACTCCGGCACTGTGTGAATGCCCTTCCGAGAAGGTCCTTCGGTTTAAGCCAGGCTGCAAAGTCATGCTATTGTGGAATTTGTCTGAGAACTTGAGAAATGGCACTCAAGGCATATTCGAAGGTTTTGAAAAAAATAGTTCGTATGCTCTCGTCAAATTTCCAGTGGATGGCATTGTAAAAATTTCGAGACAAACTTGGTCAAAAGTAGACAGCCATGGTGCTGTCGCTGGGTCTATGACCCAGTACCCACTCATTGCCTCATATGCATCAATTGTTCACTGTTCTAATGAGTTTGTTTCCGGCTTGACATGTGTTGCATTGTGAAGGGTAAAGTCTGCTGATGACTTGCAAGTATTAAAATTCAATCCCAGATTCCTTAAGAGAGTACCTGAGCTCGTTACATAATAATAATAATAATATAATAATATGTGGTATTTATATAGCGCCGATATCCTCTGAGTTCAAAGGCGCTTCACATGTATAGATCATTTCACACGGACCGCTGTTTAAGGTGCAATTGGCAGCCACGCGGCTTACAATCATGAGGGGTTAGTAATTAGTATGGGTTAGTAGTAAGGCCTAGCCACACACACCGGGAATCATCCCCTACTCTTATGCGAACAGTGGTGTGGGTTCTTTAACGTCCCTCTAATACAGGTTAGTGAGTGAAGTGTAGAGAGACGGGACCTACGATTTTACGTCGTTATCCGAGAGGACGACAAGATCTTACCATTTGCAGATGGAGAAAGACAAAGGCAGCAACTTCTCCTCAACCCTGAGTGTTGGTCCGGCCGGGGTTTGAACCTGCGACCTCCTGCACTAAAGTCCGATGCTCTACCTACTGAGCTAACCGGTCGGCGGTTACAAGTGAACTGTGGAGAACCAATGATTGAAGATGATTGCACAAAGGAAAAGTTGATGGGCTTTGCAAAGTACGCTTGGCAGAGTTTATTTGAAATAATGGAGAGACACACAGAGGATAATTTAGATACTATCCAGAAAGTGTCAAGACAGGAATTCACAAGCGTAACCAAGAATATTCATGTGTTTTTCAATACCAGAGATGAGTTGTGTGTTAACATTGAATCCATTACTTCTTCATCCAAATACCCTGATACTCTTGAGTTAACCGAGTCTAGGCAATATACAGACAGGGGTTTGTTGCACACAACAGACAGTTCTTTATGGCACTGGAACAGAGAAGAATAGAAGTAATACGCTTTTCAAGAATTATGGCACATGGATCCCAAATGATAGAGGTTGCCCTTGAATGTCTTCGTAAAGACAAAGATCTACAAGAAAAGTGGCTGTTATCATTCTAAGATGACTTACACCTTAGGGTAATTACCTGTGTTAATGACCAACACTATTGTAGCATCACCATTTGCTCAGATTATACTGTTTTAAATCATTTTTCTTTTTGCTTCTCAAAAATCTAGGAGTTAAAAGAATGCATATAGCAAGACATAAAAGAAAGGATTGTTAACATGGGTGCAAATCAGATTTTGCGGGATTTCAGGTGACAACATGATTTATAACCTATTTTTATAACATAACATAATTATAACAAGATCTATTGTAATAGTTACTATTCTATAATTTTTCAAGTTAGTCAATCCGAGCTAAATATACATAGTTAGTTTTTGCTGGTGCTAATATTGACCTCCCTTAGATATCAGTTCAAAGTAAAAAAGACTATGAGTGTTTCAAAAGAAACAATAAGAGAAGGAAAAGCAGGACATGGCAACATTTCAGGTTTGATTTTATTGTATTGCAAAATATCTTATTTGTATTGTAAATGGTTTTGCTAGAGGGTCATTTACATGATAATATTTCAACAGGATATTTTGAAGGACACCATCCCTGGCAAAGTTCAAAGTAATGGTTTGCTGTTAAAGTTTATCGAAGAGCACAAAATAGAGGGATTGACCAGAGTCTTCCGAAAAAATGAACTCCAACTCCTCTGCAAAGCCTACAGAGTGAAGTACAAATCAAAGTCAAACAAGAAATTTCTGGCCACCAAGCTGGTAGATGTTATTTTGTTATTTTTGTTTTAAAAAACAGTTAAACAAGTTCCAGATTTCACTCCACTGTAACAGTGAAAAGTTTGATATGGTAATCTTACATGTATGTACATGTACACTCTAGCATATTGATGTAATTGAAATAGACAATGGCCTATTTTAAAATATTTAATATTTATGTCGTGATTTATCCAGTAATCTAAGGGCATGATTACTTCAACTTTGACATCTTCATGAGTCAAAATTGTAATAATGNTCCTAAGGGACTTCTCCCGGAATTGCCTCCTTCTAAGCACTATAACTTTCTTTCATTTCTATATCGTGTTTATCATAGTGCCATGCGGTCTTCATATTCATATCTTTACATTATTCTATTACCGCAACCTTAACATCTATTTCACCCCGACCTGCTCCCAGTCTGGCCTTGTAGCTCAGCTGGTAGAGCATCGGTGTACAAATCCGAAGGTCGTGGGTTCGAATCCCAGCGAGGTCGGAAATTAATTTTTCCGAATTTATTCCTAAGGGACTTCTCCCGGAATTGCCTCCTTCTAAGCACTATAACTTTCTTTCATTTCTATATCGTGTTTATCATAGTGCCATGCGGTCTTCATATTCATATCTTTACATTATTCTATTACCGCAACCTTAACATCTATTTCACCCCGACCTGCTCCCAGTCTGGCCTTGTAGCTCAGCTGGTAGAGCATCGGTGTACAAATCCGAAGGTCGTGGGTTCGAATCCCAGCGAGGTCGGAAATTAATTTTTCCGAATTTATTCCTAAGGGACTTCTCCCGGAATTGCCTCCTTCTAAGCACTATAACTTTCTTTCATTTCTATATCGTGTTTATCATAGTGCCATGCGGTCTTCATATTCATATCTTTACATTATTCTATTACCGCAACCTTAACATCTATTTCACCCCGACCTGCTCCCAGTCTGGCCTTGTAGCTCAGCTGGTAGAGCATCGGTGTACAAATCCGAAGGTCGTGGGTTCGAATCCCAGCGAGGTCGGAAATTAATTTTTCCGAATTTATTCCTAAGGGACTTCTCCCGGAATTGCCTCCTTCTAAGCACTATAACTTTCTTTCATTTCTATATCGTGTTTATCATAGTGCCATGCGGTCTTCATATTCAGACACTAGGTAGTTCACATTGCTTGAACTCATGAACATGGACAGCACTCTTAAACAAGTTTGTATTTTTTGTACTGTTTCAAGTGGTTTTGGTTGAAAGCAATGCCTTATACTATGAGTAATTAGAATAATGTTAGAATATGTACATATATGGACTAGCACCTAGCAGCTTCAAAGGTAAAATTCTGTTTTGAGAGAGTGCTTTTAGTAAAACCGTGGAACATTGGTAATTACTAAATTGTGCAACATAATTCTAGATGAGCAAAAGAAAACAAAAGAATTAGCACAAAAGAGTATTACTAATGTTTTTAATGTTTTTTTACTCATGCTTTTACTGAAAGCAGTCTATGTATCAACTATAAACTTAATGCATTAATGATGTCTTAGACTTGGGCATTTGCTTACCAGAATTACTTTTCCTGCTAATGGTAGTCTGCCCTAAAATTATTGAATTCTGGCAAGACTGTTGAAGTTTATATGTTGGATTGTTGTTTTTCCCATTCATTATCAAAGGGTGCTAAACTGCTGGTTGTTGGGATTGTAATGGTTGTAGTTTCTGTTTCCTGGCAGAGTGATGATTTCATCCATTTGAAACATAGATCCAGCATGAAGGGATGGCAATTTTTGACTCTTTATGCAGCTTCTGACAGCTTTCCAACTGGATGACAGATACAACTCTTCTTCTTTTAGAGATGAGGATCACTGGAATGCCTATAAAAAAAAGAGAAATGTTGTCAATCGTATGGTAAAAACTGCTAAGTCTAAATACTACTGTGACTTGATCGAAGATGCCGGTGGAGATTCAAAACGTATCTGGAAAGCAGTTAATGAAGCCTGTAGTCGAAMACCTAATTCTAATTCYCAGTCTATACAATGCATTGTTGCTGACGGCGTTCACTATCTTACACCTAAATCTATTGCAACTACGATGAATAAATATTTCTCGAGCATTGGAAAAGTGCTGGCTGACAAAATAACATCCTGCACAAGTCCCTATCAGTATTTCAACCGTAATTGTA